CTATGGAAACTAAGAACCTATTGTTAGTCCAAAAACCATTTTATAACTCCCTTTGAAATATAGTGACGATTGCCTGTTGGGATGCAAGCAGCAAAGGCAAGTGCCAGAGAACCCAACCTGTCACCGCCCAGCCCGGTCTAAGATGCGTTCAATGGCAGTACCCACAGGGCCCGAGACACACAATTCTGCAACCTCGACAGCATCTTCCAAACAAGTGACGACGTTTACCAACATTTAAAAATTTAAAAGACCGCTCTTTTTACTGGGAAAAAAGGATACGGCCACTATAAAAATTTATAAATGTAATAATTTATTCAGAGTTTATCATGTTTTAACATGTCAAATAAGAAAAGTGAAGCAGCTATTGGATTTTGTAAATAAAACTTGAGTCATATTATGTGGGATATAAAGACTTTTCCCCAGCTTTGTCTCCCCCAAAGATGTGCCAAACAGTAGCGGCTGTCTGCCAGTACATGGTGGGAGGTCAGATGCTTAGGGATGTTCTCCCTGAAGGCATTCAGACATCAGTCAGGTCCACTGTAGGTGAGGCTCACACCCTACTGATAAGGATAGTAATTGTTTCCATGGAGAGCCAGAGAGCAGGTCAAACCTGCTCAGTGACATCCAGTTAGGCTGCCATCCTGAATCTAGGATCCACCATCTTGTCACATGTATGCCACCAATCCCTCCCCTTCCTATTGCATGTATATCCCTAGATCATCCCCCTCTCATTACGGTATTACCTATAGCACAACCCCTTCCTGTGACTTAAGTCTTTACCTGTAATTAGGGGGCTTGCATACCCCCAAAGGTATATAAACCTTGGTTAGAAATAAAGAGCTCTCTCTTCCCTTGTCGTCCTTCCCCTCCCCCTCTCTCCTGCTCCCTCTCCTCCCCGTCCCACCAAGAGGAGCTGAGGTGAGCATGCTACCATGAAATGTGTCTGACTCCTTCATTTCACTTTCTCTACTATCTCTCACGTTCTCTATGACTTTACTGTAATATTTACTTACATTGCGCCTACTGGGTCTGTGATGATTTGTTAGGGGCTGGCTCCCCTGACAATATTCCCCCCTCAGAAAAAGGCACTTAAGAGGACAGAAATGGGGCTACAGCTTGGGGAGAGGGGTGTGTCAGATTAGAGCTCATGGGAGAACCAAAAAGGGATGGAGAGGGAGGAGAGGACATCCTGGCCCACCAAGCCCTGAGGACGATGTTCCTGCTCAGAGCAGACAACACACTGGGAGGACCATAGGGCTGGCCCCACCACGGGACACACCGTCCCTCACTGACCATGGCACTGCAGGAACAGCACTGGGGACAGTGCGGGAAAAGTGCATGGTCTGGCCCCATCAGGCTGGGGTGAGGCACTGAGGGCATGCAGCAGAGCAGCAGGAGGAGGAGAGTGATGAAACCCCCGGGGAATACCAAAAATAGACTTTGGAGACAGAGTATGGCACCCCATCAGACTCTACTGGAAAACACTTGTAAAGGCCAACAATTAGACCTTGAACTATTTTTGGGCTTTTCCGTTTTTGTCAGTGGCTTTCTTTTTGTTATTTTTATTTAGTTTTTTGTTGTTGTTATTGTTTTCTTGGTTTTGACTTCCTTTGTTGTTTTATTTCACTTTGCCTGTTTTTTGCACTTATTAAGGTATTGCAAATCTCTCTAGATAAGATAGGCGGGATAAATAATTCAGAGATAAAAAGAATGGTATCAATGGTTCTGGGGAGATACTAGAGAAGGGGAGGTGGGAGAAAGGAAAGGGGGTGGGTACCAACCCAGGTACAAGAAAACAACAAGTGAGCTAAAATCAATGGAGAGAAGGGTGTAGGATGCCTAGTGGGGCTTAATCAAGGGCAATGTAGCAGCGAGGAATTACTAAACCCGAATGAAGGCTGAACACGAACACGATTGTGGGACAAGAGGAAAGTAAAAGGAAATAGAGGAAAGAACCAGGGGGCAAAGGATATTTATAAAGGCCTAAATGCAGGCATGTACATATGTAAATATATATATAAAATGAGAGGGGAATAGAACTATGTACTCATATCTATATGTTAAGAATTAAGGTTGCAGATGGACATTGGGCCTTGACTCAAGTACTTCCTCAACACAACAACACTTTGTTCTAACAATCCAGCATTCTGTGATGCTCACCTTCCCAACACGATCACTGAAGACAAAATGGGTGCATAAGCAAATGTGGTGAAGAAAGCTGATGGGGGTCTTAAAGGCCTGAAGATAAAGAAGTGGCCATCTAGCTCAGAAGCAACAAAGCCCACATGGAAGAAGCACACCAACCTGTGTGATCATGAGGTGTCAATGGGATACCCGAGGTGATGGGAAGTGGGGAGGAGGGGGCATGGAGTGGAGACCCAATGTCCATCTGTAGACTACTGGACATCCCCTCACAGATGGGTCACAGGCAAGAGATGAGGCAGTTACAGTGCAGTATAGCACCGATGAAACACACAACTTTCCTATAGTTCTTTGGTGCTTCCTTCACCCCACGATCATGATCTCAAGTCTACCTTACAAATCGGATTAGACCAGAGCATGCACACTACACAGATAAGAGCCCACAGCATAGGGAATCCAGGATAGATAAACCCCTCAGAGCCAACAAGGAGAGTAGAGATATCAGGAAGATCAGGGGAGGGTGGGTGGAGAAAAGGGGAATCGATCACAAGGATCAACCTAGAACCCCCCTCCCAGGGGGACGAATAACGGAAAAGTGAGTGAGGGGCCACGGAGGATGATGTAAATATGGAAATAATAATCTATAACTTAGCAAGCGTTCGTGAGGGAGGGCAGGTGGGGGAAGAAATGAGGAGCTAATATCAGGCGCTCAAGTGGGAAGAGAATGCTTTGAAAATGATGATGGTGGCATATGTGCAAATGTGTCCGACACATTGGAGGGATGTATGGATTGTGATGAGAAGTAAGAGCCCCCAATAAAAGTATTTCAATTAAAAAAAAAGAGATGATGATGATTACCCTACAGAAGCTCTACCTACTGCCTAGTTTACACACGACATCCTTGACAGATTTAGTCTATTGGAGTGAGATGTACCATTCTTACCTTCATCTGGACAGACCTGACAATATGTTAACATCTTCAGAGTAAATTCACACATCTCTCTCCTAACTGATAGGCTGCAATTATGTTCACATTTGGACTCTTTGTTCTCAGATCCGTTGTTCATTGATTCTATCTGCTCTGAATAGATGTATATGCTCTGCTGCTGCTCATACATAATTAGCAAAAGCAGATGCAATTCTCAAGGTGAAGAATTACCCGCTACTGAGTTTTCCAACATCATCATTAAAGAAATGTGGTACTAGAAGTCTCTGGGGTGGCAAACACTACTTTTTTCTTCAACAGAACTCTCCCTAATAGCTTGAACAGACATCCCTTTGAGAGAACATTTTCCTGAACTTGTTGGTTTTTTTTGACAAAATTTACTTAAATACAATTTTCTAAGAGATTGGAAGATACATTTCTACATAGGCATAAGTTCATTTGTTGAAAACTTATTCCAAATGGCTATGAAAAGTTAAACTTCATGTAAAAATAGCAGTAAATAAATAATATTTTTCTAACTTAAGACATAGTTAACAAAATATACTCACAGTGAAATACACTTGAATAATAGGAATACTTTGCATATATTATGTTTAGTTCATGCTGATGTCCTTGCGCAAAAGCTACCCTTGCTGTGTGTCCTTTACTTCTGTAACTAGCTTAAAACCTTTTTTTTTTTCTTTGCTTAAAACCTATTTAATAAATGAGAATAGACTGAGAATTTGTTTTACATGCATTTTAAACACCAGTCAGCTCACAAAATTCAAACCCAGTTCATCTCCATAGCAGTATCATACATACCAGGTACACATTGGCATGCACTCACTAAGGATATTTATAAATAAAAAATGGTAATACGTTTCAAAGATGGTCAAATATGACATAGGAAATACAACTCCACACACAGTCCAAAGAGAAAAAATAATTTTAGCATTTTTGTGACTATAAGCTAAATAAACATGCACTAACCAAACTTTTTGGACTCATATTACATAAGTCTTATTAAAATTAAATATATCTTTACTTTAAAAATGCCAGTAAACACCAGATTTTCTGCACATGCTTTGAAGGTTGACCAAATGTTATGATTTTGTTGAAGTACATTTAAACCATCCCACCCAAAACTCAAACCCCACTGCCATCAACTGGATTTCAACTCATAGGGACCCCACGGGGGTTTCCGAGCCTGTAATTCTTTACAGGGACAGAAAGCCTCATCTGTCTCCCACAAAGCAGCTGGGAGTTTCGACCTGATGGCCTTGTGGTTAGCAGCCCCCAAAGAACCCACTCTGTTACTGAAGGCCCTCAACTGCAATCTCACTCTCTCCCTGTGTGTGTACAAAATTGCCAATTACATTCCATTTAATGCATGTGCTATACAGAGTCTTATCTTTTAAAAGTAGCCTATAGCTGGAGAAGGAAGAAAAGTTAGGAGTGTTAAAAAATTAAACTGGCTTACCAATATGTTCCTGTAAAGCCCAAGATGATTTTGAGGCACGAACAGAGAGCATCTTTTCAACAGTTGATGGAAGTCTTTTCCAATTCGTAAACTCCAAAGTGAGGATAAGGGTGTCATCACTGACTGAGTCAATCCTGTATCAGCAAGATGTTAACATTCCATTAGACACAAAATGTACCAAGAGTCTGTCCTAGCAACAGACCCTACAGACCTATTCTCACAACATCTTACTAAGGGAGAACCAAAAATGGCAGGACACAGGAAGTTTTCGTCTAACTGAAGGCAAGTTCAGTGGGTATGAACAATCATCTACAGATTCTTCCTAGAATTGAACCTACAGTATATGTGTTTGTCCAAGAGATTATTAGATGAATTTTTAGGCTCACATATGGTAACAACTGTCCTCCCTACTCCACAAACAGTGTTAAGAAAAACACAGAGCTAGTGCCAGTCACCATTGGATTTGCAATGATTTCCTACCGATGGACCATTATGAGAATCTAGATTGGTCATCATCCTTACTGACATAGCATCTAACAGTCCCGGCAGCTCAAACATCTTAAGATTCCTAAAGAGAGAGTACCAGAGCCTGTCTGCTTCTACACAACTCACAGGGACGTACAATTGTTCTATAAGAATCATTCTAGACCCAGCCCCCAAAATGAAAATAGAACCAGCTTTGTCCTTAAGGCTTGAAAGTAGGGGTTCCAGAGAAATAATTTTTCCTCTGTTCTTTTGAAATAATGTCAGATTTCCTCCAAAGTCTAAAAGAAGCCACCCCAAACTGCAGAAGCATTTAACTCCCAAGGGTAAGAACACCAATCTAAGAGTTCTGCTTTCTAGCACCACCGCTATGACTTACAAACCTTCTTTCTTAAATTCTTTCAGCCCTATATCCCAGTTAGAGAATTAGAATACAACTTATATTATCTACTTTAGAAAGCTGATTTTGAAAATAAGTAATACAGTAAATGCACTTTTAAAAATAAGAGATATTACATTCAGTGTCACTATTACTGGAACTCACTTGAAAACTTGAGTATTATATATTCTGTATGCCTCAGAATACCATAACATGAAGTTCAGTCAAAGCTTCAAGAGAACTCTTTAACGTCTAACAATATTATCCATCGCAGCCATGAGATCCTCCCCTCTACCATCACAATGATTGAAGAAAAATAAAATGATTAGCTCTCTAGCAATTACTACAAAACCAGAACGTCCTATCCATGTCTTGTTAAAGAGTTACCCTTTTAAAAAATTTTTTTGAGACATTTGCCAGCAAGTACTACAGAGGAGAAAAAAGATGAAAAGGGAAATAATTGAATAATACTTTAAATTTGTCATCTCTAAAACAACTGAATTTGGGTAATTTAGAAGCAAAATAACTTTGAAATTACTTGATTAGAGTGTACCCAAATTATTTGCTAGATTCTTATTTCTCCAATATGTAAATGTACACAGGGAAGGCCCTAAAATGCATCACAAATACCTTGGGAAACATTCCACTTGTCAGGGAATCTCAATGAAACCAGATCCTGCCAGAAGGCACTGAGAGTAGATGACTAGATGTGTCCAAAGGCAAAGCACTGCCTAGGCTTTTCAGGGGGTTGGAGGTAGGTCCTGTTGACTGTTTTGGTGGTATCATGTTTCTGTCTTCATGTACTTTAGGTCTGATTGTGACCAAACACAGAGCCAGTTCTATGCAGTTATCTGAACACACAGGAAAAGCAAATCTGTTTGCACAGCTTTTGCTAGTACAATGGCATGTTTATTTTACCAACACAGCTCCTGCCAATTAAAAGGTGTTCTTATTGTCCTACACTGCCCATTAATTACATTGTACAGGAGCAGCTGAGCAAATAAAAAACGAGTGGCAGTTAATCACCCATAGGTGGCACTTACTTTCTATTATTCTCCCATTACATTCAAGGGGAGAACAACAGTCTCGCAGTGAACATTGATAAAGACTTTGAATATGGTGACAACTGTTTGTATTTTTTTAGTTAACTGTGTAGATTATATTGTGACACGGAATGATTCAGCCTAATAGATTTTGTGGTTGTTTTCTTTTTATCCAATAGATTTTTAATACTGTTTAAGGCAACCAATACCTAGGAAAGACATTCATAATTTACATGACAAAGATTAGGCAACAGTTGATATAAATAAGAGAAAACAAAATTCACTTTCAAAACACACTGGAATTCTTATAGGAGGATTTTTCTTAGAACAGCTCTTTGAATGCAAAGTTGATAAAAGAAAGCAAAATATTTACCATGTACAGCTTAGACACAGGCTTTATCCATTCCAAAAAGATCAGTGAACAAAAAGTTCACCACGTGAAAGAGATATTGCTACATTTTTCCCTTGTATTTTTTCTCATGAAATAGACAGTGACTAAAATGATTCCTTCAGACTAAACCATTTACAACTGCCATTCTCACCTCAGACACGACTGGAGGTTTTATAGTTTGTTCAAAACAATGTGAAATTGTCTGGTTCTCAAATCTCTCCTATCATACCACATCCGATAAACTCAGCACACCACTGACTTCGTACCACAGAAATCATCAACGGGGTGCTCAAACTTGGCGGGGGGTGGGTGGGTGGTGGTGGTGTGTGTGTGTGTGTGTGTGTGTGTGTGTGTGTGTTAGAACTGGGGGTGGAAAGGTATATTTTATAAAACTATCCAAAATAAAAAAGTAAAAAAAAAAAATCTGTCTCCTTCTAGGGAAGGGAACGGAAGGAAATGCAGTCATTTAAATTTTCTTCTCCTGGATAAATTCTCCCTTTGCTTCATGTACTTTGAACCTGTTTTCAAGAGAAAGCCACTACCGCAGCAATACAGTCAATTCCAACTCATTGCAACCCCGTAAGGGAGGGCAGAACTGGTCCCGTGGGGCGTCCACAGCTGTCAGACTTGATGGGAGCAGCTGGTGGGCTCCAGCGACTGGTCTTGCGGTGAGAGCCCAACTCAGAAGCCAGGAGGCGACCAGTGAAGAGCAGTCCCTGGAGAAGGACACGAAGCTGGACAAAGGAGAGGGCCGGCGATACAGAGGAATACCCTCACTGGGCTGGACTGACACAGTGGCTGCCACAGCAGGTGCAAACCCATAGATGATGAGGATGGCACAGGCCTGGGGGTGCTTTCTTGTGTTGTACACACGGTGGCTCCGGGTCAGGAGCAACTCCACAGCCCCTAACAGCAGCAGCAACAAGGTGGCTTGAGGCAAGAGCAAAGAACTTTGACTCAGCTTCCACAAGTGACACAAGAGATTCAAGTTCTTAAAAATGAAGCAATTCGACGTCCTTTCCCCAGGGAAACAAGCAGCCTCAGAGTGTTTATAAGCACAGGCTTGAGCCACACTATAGGAGAGCTTGGATTCATACTTAGGTCTAGCTCTTGGGCAAGTCTGTTACATACTCAGGGCCTCAACTTCCTCCTCTATAAAATAATAGTCCCTATAGTCCATTTGAGAGTACATGAGCTAACCAGTGGTAAAGAAAAAAAATAGTGTTCAGTTAACACTATGCTAGGTGTTGGGTAAAGAAATAGATACATTAGAATTCAGCATGGACTATGAAGAATGAAAGTAGTAGAATCAAGATCCTTAGTGAGAATCAGTAGAGAAATAAATGGAGTATGGCTGGGAAGGAAGTGTGTACCTTGGGAGCAGGAGGCATTGAAAGAAGGGCAAGAAGTAAAAGAAGAGAGGGCAGTATGAGTGTGTGGTTGGATAAGCCACAGCAGCCAGGCACAGCTCCTAAGTGGTGAGGGCAACGACTGCTAGCTCTCTCTCCGGGGTCCAAACACCACCATGAAATCCATGCAATCATTAAGAGCATCCTAAGCAGCGATTTCAGAAGTGAGTGATATAGCATCTGTTAGCTGAGTGCTTAAATCTCAATGATGTAAAGAGAAAAGGGAAAATAAGCGTAAAAAACACCCTCCCCACCCACATAAACTTATAAATCAGAGAGTTCTCTGTACATTTTCAATAATCTTCCTATTTCATTAAATCACCTAGTAAATGTAGAATGGACTTTTGTGAAAAAGAATTGACAAGGTATGGAGGAAAGTGCAGCGATGAGCCTCTGTTGAGTAATTATTAGTGACACCATCAAGCTACCTGTTAAAGAGGCAGGAAAAGTGGACGCTTGGATCTCAACTTTGCTTTTATTTCTATATACCCCACACCATGAACCAGAAAGACATTTTTTCCTTACATATGATGTATCTGAAGCACTCAGTTATTTACTCTTTTCCAGGAAGAGAAAGCAGTTCTAAGCATACACTATCTGCTTGATGCCAATTCCTGAAATCCATGTAACAGTAGCTGTCATAACTATTGGGATGAGAGTTCTCTCACAGCTACATTGACCATTTCAGTTCCATCTGGACACTAACAACTTTGGCAGAGCCTGATAGGCATGGCCTTCCTCTTCCTGGCTTGACATCCACTCTTAGCGGACTACGTCTAAGAAACTACCTGAAGACAGCAAAGGATGTCCTCAGATGCATCAGAAATCAGTACTCATTCAAGGAGACAGATCTTAACTTAGACAAGATGCCAAGAGTTCTGAATGTAGTGAACTGAGAATAACCGGCATCTCCAAAGCTGCTTCAATAGCTCCTTCTTCTGTCACAGGCTTCTTAAGAGAACACAGCTATCTGTCATCCTGCTCTCTCCCAGTCACCTCTTACTGGTTCCCAAGCTCGCCATTGGCAGCGAGACCCCCAACTCCTTCACCCTCTTCCAGCCTTCACAGTGAACATGCATACACCCTTCTCCCAACACAAGGATCTCAAGAAATCGGGGATAATTTGTGGTAGCACATTCACACAAAACGGCCAACGTCTACTGTGCTGGTTTCTTACCAAGAACTGCATAGTAGATTCAATGGGTCAAACCCTGCAAGCAGGAGATATGGCAACCATTCTCTAGACTTCGCTTGTGCTCTGACTCCATAATTTATAAATTCAGACACATGGCTCCACGGTTCCAATGGGCAGCGTTCCTTCAAAAAATAGCGAAACTCGGAATACTTCTCGTACTTCAGGCAGTGGGCCAAATACAGTTCGCTTAGATGGGCTCCGTATTTCAAAAGGAGATTCACAATCCCAGGAAACGCATCATCTCTGTAGCATGAAAATACACACATATATATTTTAAAAGTAAAAAGTATGCTATAGTTTTCCATTAAAAATTAATTCTTACAAACCATTAACAGTGGTTATCAATGGAGATTAAGGATATTTCAGTATGAAATATTATACAATCATTGAAAACCATAATTATAATCACTATGTAACCATAATTTTGACTGTTTATGATATTTTAACTATAACAACATTTAGTAAACGTGTACTGGCTATGTAGCAGCTGTGAATGAATTTATGAAGGAATAAAACAATTCTCCCCTTGATACTGGCAACAGTAGCATTAAAATCATCTTATATACGAAAAAAAACACCTCACTAGTCATAGACCTAAGTAAGAAGCCAAACGCTTAGATTAAATACAAATGTTTACCTCTCCATCGTGTGACACTAACTACTGAGTGTTTGTGTTTGGAACTTAAAATCAAGATGTTGAGCAGTTTGTGTACAAGATCCACAAGTAAAATGTCCCCTAACCCAGGAAAAACCCTTTGCCAAGGAGACAGACCTGAGCTGTCTCACAGGGCATCCAAGATCAGGTATCTTTATGGAAGCCGGCTGCCACATCTTTCTCTGGTGGTTGTTTCAAACCACCAACCTTTGAGTGAATGCTCAAAAACTTTGCCACTCTGCTACTTGGACCCCGTATCTAACTCCAGCATATGCTCACAAACTTATTTATTCTTCAAAACTTGTGCTCTTTTTCTTAAAGTAAAAGAATATGCATTATTCTCTTTGCTAATAATTTACACAGCAATTAAAAGACTTTTTAAAATCTATCATTTACATGTATAAGAATGACGTTAGCTGCTTGTCCGGCATCACGCTAGGTGTTGCTGAGGCAAGGCAGTCATCACGTATGACTGTCATTGAGAGCATCCCGGGATGCGATGCTTGCCCTACTCTGGCTGCTTTCAGACACAACACAGAGACTTGTTGCCAGAAAGACCTGCACTATAAGACATGATAAAAGATATTCTTCTGGCTGATGGTTCTAAACAGGTATCACCAGTCGATTTCAACCACTTTGGCCTCATTGAACTAGGCTCAGATATTTTGCTTCAGTCATTACTTGCTGATGGTGCTATAGCACTGACAAGCTGCCCATGAACTGTTGAACATGTTCCAATAAACATGCAGGGAAAATGTGGGAAAGGCTCACGACACTGCCTTACTACAAATGTGATACACAATTCTCAGAGAGCCTGGCCATTGTATATGCACTTGCGCAATTCAGGGAATGCTATTTGAAACCATCAATAGCCCAATAGACGCTCCTTTGTTGAGTCCAGAGAACATAGTTTTGGCACGAAATAAAGAAATGATTATGTGCTGCTGGTGGCCTCTAAGTGTGGTGTATGGGATTAAGTGCCACCCCTGGGAAAAACTATAGAACTAGCAGCTTTCTTATTTAAATCTAAATATCACACCTACGCTTTCTTTCAGCTCCCAAGAAAATATTAATTTTGGCAATGCCAAGGGGTAAACCATCTATGCCCATGGCCCCCTGGTGACTGAGAGTGGCCGAGGACCACAGAATCTTGGGTTGCTGGCTGGGAGGAAGAGCTGCTGTGGACCAATGACTATCCTCAATGAGTTCTGACTCTGGCTTGTGGTGAGCTATTGGCTTCCCTAGTGGACCCCCAAAATCGTGAATACTGTGAGCTCTGTGGGGTCATCACAAAGGGTTGTCGAGCCCAACAAAGAAGCAGAGTGCCATGAGTGGAATGGCTGGTGTCAGAACAGGATGGAGAGTGGAGGCATGGCTGGCAATCAGCCTTGAGCTGATGTGAAGTTGGAGTTAAATTCTTTTCCTGTATGTGGTCAAGGGAGGTCAGATGTGCCCATTTACTCCTAAACATTTTCAAATACATGCTCAATGCCCAGGCTCAACCTCCAAACACCTTTTGAAAAGTACCTTTAAAATTTATTAGTCCAACTGTTAAATTAAAAAAAAAATTAAAGCGTGTAAATTGTTAAAACACTGTACTTTATGTTTATCTTACATTTCCAGACTTCCCAAACCTTTGTAGATCCATTTCCTTCTTAGGAATTGATAACGTACAGCACCATGAACATTTTCTTAAAAGTCCTCCAGGAACGTGGTGAAGAAAGCTGATGGCTATGCAAAAATATAGCGTCTGGGGTCTTACAGGCTTGAAGATAAAGAAGGGGCCATCTAGCTGAGAAACAACAAAGCCCATAAGGAAGAAGCACACCAGCCTGTGTGATCATCAGGTGTTGATGGGATCAGGTATCAGACATCAAAGACCCAAAACAAATAATCATATCAATGTGAATGAGGGCAAGTGCGGAGTGGCGATCCAAAGACCATCTGTAGACAATTGTACATCCCTTACAGAAGGGTCACAGGAAGAGACAAGCAAATCAGAGTGCAGTATAGCACTGATAAAACATACAACTTTCCTCTAGTTCTTTAATTAATGCTTCCCCACCCCCACTACCATGACTCCAATTGTACCTTACCAATCTGTCTAGACCAGAGCATGTACACAGGTACAGATAAGAACTGGAAACACAGGGAATCCAAGACAGATAAACTCCTCAGGACCAATAATGAGTATAGCGATACCAGGAGGGGAAAGGGAAGGTAGGGGGAGACAAGGGGAACCGATCACAATGATCTACTTATAACCCCCTCCCAGGGGGACGGACAACAGAAAACTGGGTGAAGGGAGACATCAGTCTGTATAAGACATGAATAATAATAATTTATAAATTATCAAGGGTTCACGAGGGAGGGCAGGTTGGGAAGGGAGGGGAATAAATGAGGAGCTGATACCAAGGGCTCAAGTACAAAGACAATATTTTGAAAATGATGATAGCAACAAATGTACAAATGTGCTTGACACAATGTATGTACGTATGGATTGTGATAAGAGTTGTACAAGCCCCCAATAAAATGATTAAAAACAAAACAAAAAATCCGCCAGGAAAGAAACACATTAGACATCATTTAACCTTGTGTTTTCAAAATTGGATTAAATATGTAACTCCATTCACACTATGTAACACTCAAATCTATTACAAAGAGCACTGGTGAGGGCTGCTAAGCCCAAAGTCTGCAGTTCAAACCCACCAGCCGTTCTGGGGGAGGAAAGAGGCAACACTCTGCTTCTATAAAGATTTGGAGTCCCAGTGACCCTGTGGGGCATTTCTATTCTGACATACAGTGTCAATGAGCCAGAAAGGACCTGTTGGCAATGGATTCAAAAATAGAATATTGATCACATCCAGAAGTAATATTTGATAAATTTGCCTCTAAACTTCCAATTATGCACATTGCCTTATGTTACAATAGGCAAGAGCATGCATTCCCAAAAGGCCGTCTAGTGTGTATAGCTTTCTAACCAAACTGCCATTTAACACCACGAGAGAATTAGAGAACTTTGTCAGCATGTCCTGAGCTTCTCCGTTCTTGCCAAATGTGGAAGGTTATCAAGAAAGTCTTGAACATGAAAGTTCCAGAAAGGGCAGCACCCCATGTCCTATGTGAACTTGCTGGCTGCATGCCACTGAACATTCAGCAGCAGAGTTTATTTAGGACCTCAGTCCCAGCCTCCCTGGAGTCCACTGAATCACAGGGACTCTGGGTTTCATAGCAGAACTGCACTCTTCGGGGTTGTCAGGGATGATGTCCTTTGGAAAGCAGATTACAAGGCCTTTTTTTCCAGGGCTTACATAACCTTTCGTTAAAATACACATTACATGGACAAACAAGGGGGCTTTAAAAGTCCATTATTTTAAAAAATTCCATTATCTTTCCATTTCATTTTTCCATGAAATAAATGTATGTACAAGGAGGATTCACAAAGTTTATGGAAAACTGGAATTTAAAGACCACGGAATAAGTGTCCCTGTATTTCCACGAACATGTCTACAGATTTTCTCTCTGGATCTGATAAGGAATCAGAAAACTCTCAAAGTCCAAGAGATGAAAAAAAAAAAAAAAAAAGGAAAAGTTCATCAGGTTTAACATACATACTAAAATTCAACTGTGACACATTAGAAGAATACATGTTACATAAGCAGTGACTATCAACAGATACTGAGAAAGAGGAGAGTTGAAAAGCTTAAAAAGCAATGTCTAGATCTTTTGAGGAACTTGCATATTTTCTGCTATGCTCCTCCTTTCAGCTCAAATATGTACCAGGAAAACCACGAGGACATTCTACTTGAAAACAAAGAACTATTTCCAACACTCACAAAAGTGGGCACACATCTGAGCATTTGATGTTCCATTAGCCAGCAAAACATGTAGCCAACAATCAGCTGAATGATCAAAGGGACATAATAACTCACTGAGTGCTGTCAGGTGAGGGGAAATATGACAGTCGACTTTATCAGGTATACTCCCATATGAAACTATGACCACAATTAACACAATGGCTTCTATGAAACAAATCTGATGACAGTGATCAGTATCAAGGAGAAAGACAGACAAAACCAGGCCATCTAAGCATGGTCCTCCTCTTCCAGTCTTAGGTAAAAGGCATTAACATTGTCTAAATTGCTGCGCAACTTTTCAGCTCCCCTTGTCTTTTACCCATATCATATGGAAGGCATCTTTTCCTTAACATTTTCTCATTTGAATTGAATAGCTCAACTGTGCCTTGTGAAGGCTGACTTTGTGTCACTGCAGCTGTTCGTTCACTTTTCAGCCCCAAAGGGCAGCAGCTGCTTTTGCTGCCCATCTGGGTCATGGTGGAGACACCTCTCCTTTACTGCCTCAAATGGAAGCCCATCCTCTCAAATGGGGATTACACTACAGAAACGGTCCACAATGACAATCCTGAGCTAAGAAGGGAAACCGAATGAATAAAATGATAACAGAAGAAAACTTTTAGGCGCAGAGCCATTATTTAGAATTATTTTTTATCACTTTTTAAATATAACTATACTAGCTGTAAGCCGAAATAAGTTTCCTGGAAGACACAAGCCAAGAGTGTAAGAAATGTCACAAAGCCTGAATTTATAGATCTCAAAGAAATAACAAAAGATATAGTACATAGGAGAAAGCAAAAATGTTTGACTCAATACCTCGTCAGTTAAGTGTTGACTATCTTTTTATACAACAATTTACACCACACTCATATTATTGTAACACCTTATTGTTGCTATAAAGATAGAATTTCAAAACTTACATCACGAAGTTTCTTACCAAATCTGTATGAATGCAAATACTCAATAATTCCTTTTGAAAAGTGGACTCTTTCAAATACCAGTCTTGTAACCAAAAGTCAAATCTTTATTTCTAACTGTGTAAGACAGATTAGGAAATTCCCACATTGTATCATTAAGAGAAAACTTAATGCATGATAGTTATATTAAAATTATATATAATTATCCTGGTTATTTGAATGCTAATTCTAATTAATAAAATTCATTTTTAGCTTATTGACTACAGGTAATCCAAATTTTAAGACTATAATATATTCAAAGAATAAAACAAATATGAGCATTTTTTCAGCTTTGAATTCTTTCCCACAGATACTGGCTATACTATGCTCTGCTTGCTTTCCTGAAATAAAACCTACAGGGAGAATAAAACTTTTGTTGTTTGGTCAGTAAGTTCTATAGAGTCCCACAACAGTCTGAACAATTTCCACATTGCATTTACATTGACTGACATGCAAGCTGATAAGCTAGACTTGAGACTATATAAATGTAACATACTTTACATAGAAATAGCTGCCATCAAGTTGACTCCAAGTTACGGTGCTGTGACAAAATGTTGTCCTTCAGCAAATACTCCCTCCTGATGTGCCCAAAGCAAGCATGTTGGACAATGTTCTGTTGTGATCCACTTTCCAATGGGTAAAAATTTGGAGGTGGCAAACCTTTCTTCCCCACTAAGGGTGACCCTACTGGTACCTGAAACACTGATGACGTAGCTTTCAAATACTTGATTACAGCACATTCAAGCTGCCACATTAGGACAGACACATAAATGGTGGAAATACTCATTTAGTATTGAGACTAAAGTGTACTAAATTTTGTTCTCTAAATAGATGGAGAGGAGAACCAACCTTGATGTTCTCCTTCTATGTGCAAACATTATGCTATGCACTATATATGTCAGCCCATTTAGATAAGCAGTAAATGGGAATATGTCTAATTATGATGCTACCAGTTTTTAGATTTACTCACTTGGGAAATATGCTCACCCCAGAGTCCCCCACCAATTCAAGTGCACAACCTTGCTTGCTGAACGTGAAGAGGGCTTGAAGCACTTACTACTAAAGGTCAAACACTACACCTGATAACCTGTTAACAGTCATCCAGTATGGATGACGCTCAGCATAAAGAAAACAAAAACCATATTTTTTCCAAAAATCATCTGAAATGGACTAATAAATAACAACCTGATAAAGAAAACACTGACGTTATCAAAAACTTAATTTTACTTGGACCCACAATCAGTGTTCACAGAAGCAGCAAGAAATCAGAGGATGTATTGCATTGACCCAGCTCTGGAGAGTATCAAAAAGCAAAGATGTCATTTTGAAGACTAAAATTTGCACAACTTACTCTACAGTATTTTTAATCACTATATAGGAATATGAAAGTTGGACAATGAATAAGGAAGGACATAGAAGAACCAAGGACTTTGAATCATGGTATTGGTAAAGACACTTGAATACAGCTTGGACTGACAGAAGGGCAGCCAGATGCACCTCACAATAGAGGATGGTGAGGCTGTTTCCTGTGTGTTGGTCATACAATCAGGAGAGATCAGTGCCTGGAGAAGGAAATACTGTTCGGTGCAGTAACTAACTGTTTTGGGGTCAACCTGGCAGTGTGAGAATTCTCAGTGACTTGGTTGTTAAGACCTAGTAATCACACATGATGTGACATAATGTAATCACCTCCATAATAGGATCTGTATGAACAGGTTAGGATGGGACACAACACCTTCTCAGGTCACAGCCCTGATGCAATCAAGTTGAAGGCCGTTTCCTCAGAGCTGTTGCATGCCATGTTGTCTACAAACCCTGGGAATCTTTTCCCAATGTTAGAAAATGTGAAGCTATTATTGATTCGCATAATACCTCTGCACCAATCTATTTTTCCTCTTCTGGAGGGAGAAAACAAGATTAATTTTTTAAGATTATCCTTTAGGAACCTAACCCTGTGTGTTCATGTTTCCCCCCAATTTTTTGGTCTTTCTTTTGTGTGGACAGCTTCTATAGGTCTATATTCAACTTACCTGACATTTTCTGTCACTCTGTTGTGGGTGTACAGAACATTCGATTAATTTTTCATTGTAAATGTTATATTTTCAGTTCCAGAATTTCTATCTGGATCTATGATTATAGTTTTTATTTTTCAGTTGAGAATTTTTGTATTTTGCATTCCCTTGATGTACTTGTGAAATAAGAATAAAATTTCTCATTTAAGTGTGAATATAATAAAATAAGGAGTCCTGGTGACATCATGGGTTACGCACTGAACTGCTATCTACAAGGTCAGCAGTTAGACTCCACTAGCTAAATTTTATTTATCTGAATCTACTGATGGCATGAAACAGCAGAACAAATTCTCAAGGAATACTATTCACAAGGGCACTGTGTGGCGTGGTTTTATTAAAATTACACTTCAAGGTGATAAGGTGAGCAGAGCTGCTATGACCAAAAATACTCAGAAATAATTCCTAATATGAAGGCCTACAATGACCATAATTACATTGGATACACACATTCACAAACTATCCAATGTCATTCTGCTCTGATCTAAGAAATAATTTTTTTAAAAAAACACCGTGCAATTATGACCTCATAAAAAATACGTATGTAATGGAGTTAGATATGGAACCTAAAATAACAGTTGAGAAGTCTTCAATGAGAAGCAATTATACAAACCGATCACAATGATCAACACAACCACACACCCCACCCCAACTTCTCGAATGCTGTGCGTGATCTTTCAGAAGCAGATCATCAGCTCTGTCCTCTAAGCAGGGCCAAGCACTTAGCTGCCTGTGCCACGCAGGGCCTCTCATCTCCACACAGCAAAAGGAATAAATGCATGGCAAATATACATACTCTATTTGGAAAGCCATACACATAGGAGAATTGAAGTCAAATACTGGGCAGATCTGGGCATCTGGGCTGTAGCCATTCTGGAGCAGTATTTCTAGGCAATCTTTGCGCCCTCCAAACACTGCTGAGTACACCGGGCTCACTTTGTCGGGCTGAGTGTCACAGGCCCGGTCAGTAAATGGGATCAGCAATTCCAGGATGCTGCAAAGACATATATGCAAAAGATTCAAGTATGTATAAGCATGTAAATTCAGGCAAACATTTCAGCTTCCAGCAAATCCCCTCTGACCACAGTCAAGTGATGTGAATAGCCTTGCTATCAGATAGAGGGCACTATAAAGTCAATTATGGCAAATGTTGGGATAAGATGTAACACCTTATCATTTGTTCTCCCTGTTGGCGCATTTTTAAGCTGTTTCAGTTTTTAGTTAGTATTTTCTGTTTTCTTTTGACTAACGTTTTTCTCTGTTTTATTTTGTCATTGATGTTGGGGTTTTTTGGTTTTTTTTTCCTGTTTATGTTTTGTCGGATTTTCTGTGTATCAAATTCAGGAGAGGTAACTTCAGAGACAGTAACTAGATTACTAATTACCTAGGGCACGGCAGGGGAGGCTAGGGGCATATGGGAGCAAACAATAAAGAAGACAAGAAGAAAATGTTCATAAATTCATTGTGATAATGATTGTGCAACTCTTCTTAATATGAAAGGATAATTAAATTGTATAGTATATGAATTATATGCTATTAAAACTATTTTTTAAAGATTTACAAAATCTGCTCAACCCTGTACAGGGTCTCTATAATTTAAAAAAAACGAGTCAAACATAGACTTAAGAAATTCTATCTTTAGTTGACCTTCTGCCTATAGTAAAATTACTACATGCTTCATAGTAGTTATTCCAAATGTTACACTTACTGTTGGTGCTTAATACAAAGATGCTTAAACATCTGAAACAGAATTAAGTTTTGTTTCTATGAGTAAATAGATTTTCCTTAACATTTTTCATTAATTGTTCATTTTCCCAGTATCAGTATTTAAAAATCCATTGTACTAAATATAAACTTATATTAAGAAAATATTTTCCTTCTTAGAGTACCAACTAAGTTTCATTTATCTAATTAGTCAAGATTTTAAAAGGTGGTGAGTGACCTGGAATGAATAATAATACTTTTATTAGGAAGATATCATAATTTGCTTATTTTGTTCATACGAGTTTATTATCTGAAAAGGATAAAAACTCTTTAAAATGTTGACAGCATAAAAATTAAATATTGACAGCAATCGGTGAAGAAGTGGACTGCAAGGTAGAAAAAGTTTTAAAGAAAATCTTTAAAACACACGTTATTACGTTATTTGTTACTTTATTTCCAGCACTCAGCTGGTGAAAGGGTTTGCATAAAATTAAAAATAAAATAAAACTCTAAAGATAACCAAAAAAATCGAACCCCATCACCATTGAATGAATTGTGACTTAAAGCAGCCCTTTAGAACAGAGTTGGATTATTCCATGAGGTTTGCGAAAGGAAAGAAACCCTCGTGGAGTCAGCTGTTAACTGTAAGGTTAATGGTTCAATCTCACTAACTTCTCCACAGGAGAAAGATGAGGCAGTCTGCTCCCATACATATTTAAGTCTCAGAAACCCTCTATAGGGTCACTATAAGTTGGAAATCAACTCCAAGGCAATGCCTTTGAGGTTTTTTGTTGCTGCTGCTGTTTTGGCTTAATCTTTATGTTAGCAAATTGTCACATCTTTCTTCCAGAGGGCAATGGGTTTGAACCACAGACCTTTAGATTAGTAGCTGACTGCTTAACTTTACCAGGAAATTAAGTCTCTTTCTAGGAAGCACAGGCAAAGCTCCAGCAAAGTATTTTCATAATATTATATTTCTCCCCGTTACAACTTTTCTTCATGTAGAGTAAGCTTAAGATAATACTATTTAAGAAGATTTTATACTCACAGAAGGGGTACCTTAGAAGTAAGCTATGAAATACTCATCAGTGATACATACACTTCTCAAAAGAGAAGACAATGAAGGAAAAATTCTCAAGAGGGTTTTAGTATCAACCTAAGGCTCGTAGAGCTATAAAGAAATTAGATTAAGATTTATGTTTAAACAAATGATCGAGAAATCAGAAAAATATCAAATTTTAAAACCTAATCATTTTGTTAAAATAGTTTAAGCTCTTTTTAAATGGGTGGAAAAAGCATCTATTCCACAAGGGGCAATTATCTTTAAAGGAACTAGTAAAACAGTATGCCACCTATTGACAGAATAACCAATTTGCAGAATCTGTCTTCCCACTGAGACGTACTGACAGTTTTGTTTTCATGGGGCCTTAATGTGGCAAATACGTTAAGTGCTCAGCTACGAACAGAAGGACCGGTGGTTTGAACCCACCCAAGTGGCTTTGTGGGAGGCAGAAGGGCCTGGGTCGATAAAGGTCACAGCCAGGAAAGCCCTATAGGAGAGAGTTCCACTCCGTCAAATGGGTCGTGAAGACAGAATGGACTCACAGGCACCTAACAACAAGAGCAGGAAACATGCTCGATTCTAACCCTTATTCCCTCACTTTTAAAATCCAGAAACACTATTAATAGGTGTATCATTATTGTTGGATTAAAACTTTAATCATCTATCTTTAAAAAAGATTCTGTATCAATTTTTATAAAGATCGACTGTCAGATTCTCAGAGATCTAACCAGGTTACCTGTTCCAAAGGAGCTCTGGTTACAGATATGGTTACATGCTCGGGGATAATGAAAGGCTGGCCATTCAAATCCATCCAGCCACTCTGCTGCAGAAAGACCAGGCAATCTGCACCCAAAAAGATCACAACCTAAAAACTTTATGGGCACAGTCCCACTTTGTGACATGGGGTGGTTGGGATGAATTGAAATAGACTGAAAAACTCACTGTTATTGAGCTGATTCTGACTCACAGTGACCCCATAGGGCAGAGTTGACCCGCCCTGTGAGTTTGGGAGTAGAAAGCCTTGTCTTTCTCCCTCGCAGTGACTGGTGGTTTTGAATTACTGACCATGCTTTTGGCAGCCCAATGCAGACCCACTATGCCATCAGGGGTCCTTTGAATGGACTCAAAAGCGCCAAGTAACAACACATTCGTAGCTTCTAACTAAATTTGAAGTCCTAATTGTTCTTAAGTCCCTCTCTACAAAAAACACCAATACAATCAAGGGAGCCTCTGGCTAACGAAGATTAGTAATAATTCGACAGGGATGAAATCCTAGCACACACAGAATGAACACTCGGCACGAGTAGGGTTCGTACATTCAAAAGCTCTCCATGGCCAGACAAAGAAAGTAAGCATGAGAAGAATGCCATCAGCCTAAGATGCCCGGGATAAACCCGGGAGGAAATGGGAGGGGAGACTATGGCTAAAGCTGGAGAAAGCAGATTAATGACTCTTGGAACAGACGAACCCCCTGGTGCTACCTCGGCTCTAGCCAGTCTGCCTCACACCTGAACACAGGATGAAGAACAACTAAGGACAGAAGAAAGTGAATTGGTCAGCCTGCAAATTGTTAGCGCGTGGGAAACAGACTTTTTCCTGGTGGTGAAGGGTCTGGCCCAGGTTATTTTTGATTAGCTTCTAATCATTAGCTCATTTTTACTTTCTATTGTTAACACTCACTTTGCATGGCCCATTTGTGCAGCTGCATGAATAGGTAACTGCCAATTGTCCTCATTACAGTAAAGATCAGGATCTGCACCACTGGACAGCAAGAGCTCTACACACTGTGTGTGGCCCTCTTGAGAGGCAATGAACAGGGGAGTAGCTTTGTCCAAGGCTTGACAATTGACATTTGCACCTAAGACAAAATGAAGAATTTAACAGAAAATCCTACAACAAACATAATTTTCCAACCAACTAACATAAAAGGGTTTCACAGTACAATAGCCCCCCTCCCTCCCCCATCTCCCTGGGCAATGGATATATTTGAATAAATGTATTTATTTTGATAAGATGCTACTAACCATTTAAATTGCTTTTGCCTTTATATTTTCAAGGAAACATGTGACTGATATTTTACTATTCATTCTTAACCAAAAATAAAAATCCTATTCAATGAAGTATTCAATTCATTCTAATCCCTCCTCTCATACTCCCTCTTTGGGTCCAATAAGTAACTGTTTAAAATGGAAAAATGAGAATCATTAACTATCAAGTTTCTGATAATTACTAAAGAATATCGGAACAATCCTAAATTATTTGCAAAGGTTTTATTGGCAAGTAATTTACATATTGTATAAATCAATATTTCAATCATTCAATTATATCAAGGAGCAGAAGAATTCTAAATTATAGCACTTAAAAAATGCAACGAACTACACCTTAAGATTTATAAAAATTAATAATCAGGAGATGTGATGATTATAACATAATGTCACAGTGACTGTGCCTTAACACCAGTGGTGATGGTACTGTTTACGGCATCCCCTTCTTCCATGGGAAAATGGTCTGTTTAAATGGATTTCTAAGTTGATTTTTAAAAGCTTAATGTGGCAGTTACATAATATCCTGTCAACTTGTGAAGGGGTGGAGCCTAGCCTGTCAATCAGTTTGTAGCCTGATGACCTCACTTGGAAGTGCAATGGCAATAAATAGCTCACTGGAGGCCAGATACCCTCTCTGCTTCTCTCCCTGTGAGACATTCCTGTTGACAAGCCACATGGCGCTAAGCTGATGGACCCAGAGCCCTGGAGCTGGAGAAGTCACGTGGAGACCCATGCTAGTGCTGCTTCCACCACAACTGGATCTATAAGACTTTCACACCCTGTGATCTTCCTGCATTTGGCATCATTGCACAAATGAGTCTAAAGAAGAATTTAGGGATTATTATCGGACACACAGGCTAATATCAGACCAAGAACTTGATCTGGACTGGGCTGGGATGTTTCCTATATATACAATTGCTCTTTTACATAAAGCTCTTTCTTATACACATGAGTATCTACGAATTTATTTCCCTAGTCAACCCTGAGTAACACACTTTTAAGTGCAGTCAAGTTATTCAGACGTCAGTATACACAGAATTGAAAAGTTGAAAATAATGCGAACTTTTATGAAAGTTAAAAAAATAACAGGTGTGCTTAAACATTTCTAAATGGTAAATGTGTTAAATATGACAGGCACGATGTTATATGACTTCGGGAAACTGAAACTTTCTAGAATACATCTCAATGGAAAACAGTCATCAAGGGGAAAAGGACTATCTTTATTTAAAAGGCTGTTTTACAACAAATGCACGTTGAATAAACAGAAGCCCTGAGAAGGCTGAAAAGTACGCCAAATTCAATGGAAAGGTTAGGAGTTTCTCGAGTCTTTGGAAATCCCAAATGGATATATAACACGTCTAGACAACTAGGTGCTTCCTGATTTAATCCAGGCAGTTTGCTTCATCTTTTGCCAGACTCAGAAAAAAAGTGAGCACTGTTACTGTGAAGGGATTAAATCAAGAAAGAATTCTGCTTAACTTTAATCAATGCTTCATTTGGATTGATCATTTCCAAATGTCATAAAAAATAAAGATTACAGATGGAAAAATGATTGATTAATCAACTGAAGGAAAGAAAACCTTTTAAGGTGTTAGAAAAATATACCTACAATAAAACATGGCTTATTCATTTGGCTATTTAATAAGTACTTAGGAAAGAAAAAAGAAAACAAAAAAAGAACAAAGCACAGCAAGTGCTTAGCCTTCCAAGTAACCAGAGCCAGTCTGAACATAAGGAGAGAGCCCCATAAGGTGCCATTGACCCTATTATTATACTCTACACAGAATACAATAATAACTGGAACTTATGAGACTAGAGGTCGTAAGTTACATTAGGGCAATTCTCAAGAACAGACAAGGTCTTACAAGGAGGAAAATCAAAAGTCAAAAGGCTTGACCCCAAATAGTTTCTAGATCTCAGTCAAGACACTTAAAACTCTCGGGGCCTGGGATCCTTGATCTAAAAAATATATATATTTGGAATATATATATATATATATTTGGAATATATATATATATAATTATATATAAATATAATATATATATTTCAAATATATATATATATATTCCAAATATATATATTTGGATAAATGATTTTGAAGATTCCTCCCAACTCCAAGATTTCAAGACCAAAAGCTCAATATTTACTACCAAAACAACAACAACAAAACAACTCAAACCCACCACCATCAAGTTGATTGCAAGTCACAGTGACCCTACACAGGGTTTCTGAGGCTATAAATCTTTATGAGAGCAGACAGCCTGACCTTTCTCCCAAAGAGCGGCTTGTGGGTTTGAACTGCCAACTTTGCAGTTAACAATCCAATGCTTACTCAACAGTGCCATTAGCACTCCATAAATGTCTGTTTCTTTTATGTATTTAGTGTTGAACATTAGAAGGTTGTAAGGAGAAAGCAGAAATAAGAAATTATCCGCACTCTGTCTAAATACATTTTGAAAAAATATTTTGTACAGTTGGAGCTAATTTTGTATAATTGGAGGTAGTTTATAAAAATACAAAATTAAAAAGAAAGGCAAACAAACTTTAGTGACAGATCATTATAATTCTACTCAGATAAATCAGTATTGCATTCTGTTAGTAGTGGACCCTTAGTAACCAGGCTTATCAATCAAGTAGTATTTACTCTTATTTACCTCATGCATAACACCATTAAGTTTCACAACCTCATTTATATCTGGTCAACAATTATTCTTGCGGGGAAGACACAAAGTTAAAAGAGATTGATCAGACCTGATGAAATGAGTGTGGCCAAGCTTGCTAGCTTGCCATACTGCGCAGCCACAAATAAAGGTGTGATTCCAAAGTCATCCTGGCATTCCTTGTTGGCTCCTTTCTGAAGAAGTAACTTTATGATCTCAGCATTTTCCTATGGCACAGATTCACATTTTCGATAAGAAAAACAAGGAAAATAAAAGATACATTTTATTCTTATTGCTGTGGGGTTTTTCCTTTTTAAATTTGTCAATAGGGGGGAAAAAGGCTTTAAAGAAAAGGTGTTGTGTTGAATGGGAAGATAGTCACCAATCAGATTTTACGCTGAAGCTCCTGTTACCCATTCAACATAGACAGCTGACAATCATATTACCTTGAACCTCTAGTTACCCACTCAACATGAACAGTTGAAAAACTGACCTCTAGAAATGATAAACCTTAAACACCCAGCCAAATTACCTTGCTTAACTGAGGCACTAAGGCACTACCACAGAATCTGAACACACTGTTATGGACACAATAAGCCACTGTACTTCACCAATGTGTATTCCAAGAGTTCTGATGGTGTCTTAACATTCAATCAACATTTCAAAAACTTGAATGATCCCTGCAGCCCCAAACCCACTGTAGCTACTAAAGCAATTGGCATATTCAGAATGATAATTAGCATTTAAACGGTCTTTTCTGTCCTTGACTAATTAAACAACATAAATCACAAGCAACCAGGAAGCAAAACAGTATATATCTGTCATTTTAAAAGGGTAAACCACAATGTACATGGGAATGAAAGGATACATCCGCAGAGTACCTGAAAGGAGGCCTGGTGCAAGGTATTCCATCCACACATAGAATGGGGTCCATTCACATTTGCCCCATGGCGAAGCAACACCTTTAATACATCTATCTGTCCATTTTCAGCAGCTGCAATACAGCAATAAAAAAAAAATACGGTCAGCCATTGACCGGCTTGTTTGTAAACCCTGGTACTTTGGTGGTGTCCACACCACTTGTTCACCTTGGAACTCACAATTCTGTAGTCATTCCTTTAAGCAGATCAAAACAGGAAGTGCTCATGCAATGCTAAAACGTTTATCACAAGAGTGTTGGTCAAAACCCAGTATCACAAACAGAGTCATGGACAAAATGAAAGACCAACACTTAATGTTCAGACTGGCTTACTGCCATAGACAATAATCACTATTTAAATGGTGACCTTGTACACATGAATAAAAATTGGTAAAACCCTCTTATTCTCAGAGTAAACCATTAGTGTCCAGACTAGAGAGAGCTGCTAAAGACATGCATATTACTTAACTACAGCAACTACTACCAATAACCCCCAAGTGATTGCTAAGGTAGACTCTCTGGTGTTCAAAGCTTCTATCCAGTGTCCACGGATAGCTAAACATTGTGTGATCTTTTGCAATGTCACCCAATTATCCAATATTATACCTATGTAAATCACAAGGTATGTTTACTTTAATAACACGTGTTTATAAGTCCTATCTGGTGAGGGTGAAGACGGGGATACTAGAATATGGAGAATGAGTTCTTATGTTGATACCACAAGCAAGTGGGTTAAATTTTACAGGATGTATCCACCCCAACCCAAACCTTGGCTATGAAGGTGACACTAATGCTGGAGGAATTTAAGCAGAGTTAATAAAGTGGCAAAATACAACTAAAAATCCACAGGCAGCAGCCTCCCCGCCCCTCCTGCAATGCTAGGCTCTGAACTCCTTCCCACCTTGCCTGCCCGCCAACAGGAAGCCCTTGATGACGCCGTGGAAATATGCATGAATAAGGAGGAGTACAAAATATGGAAAAAGAACACCCCTTTCCTTTACGATTTGGTGATGGCCCATGCTCTGGAGTGGCCCAGACAACTGCACAGTGACTTCCAGATGCAAGCAAACCAGAAGGGAAAGATTTCAGCATCCATCAACTTTTCTTGGTCACATACACATCAGCTGAGCAAACCACCTTGTAATAGCCGGTGTGCAGCTCCCCAGTGATGCTCAGTTTGACACCTCACATGATGACAGTGGGACAAGAGAATTTGGAGGTTTGGGCTATGTCCGTGGAAAGTCTGACATATAAATCTTGATCAGCGATGAAGGAGAAGTCAACCAGGCTCATGACATGCCCCGGGACCTTTGCATCATTGCAACCGACACTCCACTCAGTGATGTTCTTGTTTTGGACTATACAACACACCCTTCTAAAGCAGACACTTCTGGTGACTGTAACTCAAACTTGGTGGTGGACTTCAGAAGGAAGGCTATGGACTTTCGTGGAACCCAAATCTCAGTGAGTGCTTGCTGAGTGCTTCAGATCTGCCTGTGGGACATCAGTACTGATGCAAAGGAAGGAAAAGTGGTGGATGCAGAGACCACCTTTACCGGACATACTGCAGTAGTTGAAGATGTTTCTTGGCATCTACTTGGAGTCTCTGTTTGGGGTGGTTGCTGATCAGAAGCTCGTGATCTAGGATACTCAGTCAAACAATAGTTCCAAATCAAGCCAGTCAGTTGATACTCACCTTGCTGAAGTGAACTGCCTTTCTTTAAATCCTTATAGTGAATTCACTCTTGCCACAGGATCCGCTGACAAGACTGTTGCTTTGTGGGATCTGAGAAATCTGAAACTCAAGTTGCATTCTTTTGAATCACATACGGATGAAATATTCCAGGATCAGTTGTCACCTCACAAGGAAACTATTTCGGCTTCCAGTGGTACTGATCGTAGACTGAATGTCTGGGATTGAAGTAAAACTGGAGAGGAACAATCCCCAGAGGTGTTTATTCATGTTGGGCACACTGCCAAGATATCTGACTTCTCCCGGAATCCCAATAAACCTCGGGTGATTTGTTCTGTATCAGAAGAGAACATCATGCAAATGTGGCAGATGGCAGAGAACATTTATAATGGTGAACTCCCTGAAGGAAATGTGGATCCAGAACGGCAAGGATCCTAAATATGTCTGTACTTGTGATGTTAGCCTCCCTTTTTTTCTCTCAAACAACAGATTGATTTTTAACACTGGTTTTGAGATGACTATGTTTGGCTACCCCTCTTTAGGTACCATCAACAATGCTCTTAGCCCAAACTACATGTTGTTTAAACGTTAACTGGAAGACTTGATTTGGCTAACCCACAGACCTATAATAAATTTTCTTCAAGGAATTTCCTAGAAAAAAAATCATGTCTGAAGTAGGCACAAAAAGGGGATTATTTATATGTGGTTATTTTAGAGTGGTAGGGAATAGAGCCAAGTGAGGTAGGTGTCTTAGCCATGAAGTATAACACTACAAGATGCCATTTTTATTCCGGAAGCAGAAATCAAGTCCTAGAGATTTCTACTCCAAAATCTTCACACCTGACTTGCCGGGATGCACATCTTCCTATGAAGCCCAGTCTCTCCATTTCTTCAGTTAAGTCCAAATTATCCATGTTCCTCTTTTCCCACAGGTTTTGCTTGTTCGTGTATTTCTTAAACTGATTGCATATTAGTTCTTTCCTTTCTGTAAGATGGTTGTTTTTATTTTGTTGTTGGATTTCATTTTAATTTTTTGTAACTTGGAACCACCAAGTTGTAAGGATAGATTTTTTTACCTGCCAATTATACCACAGGTAGACTGTCCGATTGAGAAGAGTGAATTAAGAGCTGAGATTTCTTTTTAAAATTAATTTTGGATGAGTTTTTTTTTTTTTTTTTTAACTAGAACATTAGTCTTTGACCACTAGTTGGGCATCATCCCCCTTTTGGGTGAGCTGTTTCATGAGCAGGACTATTGCTTTCCCTGACTAACTCTAAGTGCTTATAATGCGATAAATGCTTTTCTACAGAACAAACAAAAAACATTATCACCAAGGGCATTCTGACTCACACTGACCATCACATGACACTAAGTTGAACTGCTCGACAGGGTCTTCTTGTCTGTGACCTTTATGGAAGCAGGTCACCATGCCTTTCTTCTGCAGTGTCGCCAGGGTAAGTTCAAGCCACTAACCTTTGAGCTCACATTGAGCACAAACTGCTTGCACCAGCCAGGAACCTTAAGATATAGCATTATAATATTAAATAAGCACACAAAAACACATATACACCAGACCTTAGAATGTAAGTATATATTAAAGAAGTACTTACACACACACACAGCAAATACAGTACATGATGATGATGTAGCTTTGAGACTATTAAATCTTGGAATTTTAAGTTTAGAAGAATAGCAATAGCTACAAAAAGAAAAAAAGTTTAAGTATGAATAAAAATATCTAAATTCAGTGCTTGCATGTGTAAAAGTCTACTTGAAAAACTACATTTTTTTGGTTTGGTTTGGTGTTTGCCTTTCAATCATACAAGTCAAGGTAAACTTATACTACAGCAGGAGGAAGTGAGTAGAAATCAACAACTCATAAAATGCACAATGTACTTGGCAGGATAAAGGGCCACACATGCAAGGTGTAAACTATGAAACTATGTGAAAGACAAATTCCTTAAAAGTATAAAACAAGGCATGATAAACATATTTGTCATTCAAGATAAACAATATGCCACTGTCAGTTTATTGATTTTATACCAAAGTATACTTTCTCTGTTAAGTAATCAGAAGGTCAATAAAAAATTCTTTTACTATAAAGAGTTTCAGAAATTTCATCCCTGTGGTTAAAGCAGGACAACTGCAGTAGAAATTTAACTAATCATCTGTGATTGCTGACCAAAATCATTCAATTGTCAAACTAAGAGTTCAAGATTATCAGGTTGTTGGCCATGAGTTTTTCCTGAGTTAGACTGATAATGTAAGAACAGTTAAAAAAAAGTGTTTTGACTATTAAATACGGTATAGAAGTCAAATGTTTTAACAACCTTTAACATCACAAATACATTAAGATACTTGATTTGTGCATCTCTAGTGAAAACATTTCCCAGTAGCAAAAAAGGAACGCATAAACATGAGCAGATAAATAATATTTTCAGAACTCTCGATACTTGCTTCTAAATTTAGTTGCCAATTTAGTTGCCAATAATTGAGAAATACACTGCTTAGAAAAGTATGCTTAGAGTTCAGATCTACAATCAAAGCCTATACTTTAAAAGAGAGATCTCTAATATCTAAGTTATCAAATTTGAAAGAAAACGGACCATAATAGTGCTGAACTGTTTGCTTAGAAAAGGCAGTCATTATTTTCTACTAACATATTTCCTCAACGCTACTAAGAAAACCAAATGTAACAGCATGCTTAAAAACTACCCAGCATCTAAAATAGTCTTTCCTATTTTTTTCCAGGAACAAAGAGTCAATTGATCAAGCATCTAGTGCTTTTGTATCTATGGGGATGGTGAGGAAAGAGGTAAGAATGGAGAAACACACTGAAGAAGAGTATTTCTACCTCAGAGCTGTCTACATGTAGAGAAAAATGGTACAGACATCAGTGACAGTAACTTAACCGTATCCAATTGAATCAGCAACGTTCACTCGTCAGGAATGGGCTATACGGTATTTATTTTTTGTAAATCATTGTATTGGGGGCTCTTACAGCTCTGATAACAATCCATACTGGGAGTGCTAGTTGTCATCACATTAATAACAAGCTTTCTGACTGGAGTGCCAACTGTCAACACATCAAGCCAGACTCCCGATCTGGCTGCTGCTGCTGCTTCTACTTCGACACCAAAATTCTTTCCTAGAATTTCCCTCCATGCTGCACACCTAAAAGTGCCAGTTATCATCATATTAACCCCTAACTCTCCACTTGAGAATGCTGGCTATCTCACTCAGTTCAAGACCCGTGGCGCAGAAGCATCAGCTGTGGCCACACTCACATCAAGTTTCCTACCTGCAGAGAGTCTCCTGGAAGTGAGAGTTTTCACCTCTTTGACAGCTGCCTCTGCCTGGGAGTACCGACTGCTGCTGCTG